CCCGCTTCAGCAGAATAGGGGATGCTCTCAGTGTTAACGGAGCCGTGCTCAGAATAGGGCGCGAGAATCGAGGGACTGTTGTCATTGTCATCCAGGATGAAAACGTTGACAGTCACGTTGGTGCTGAGCGGAGGAACACCAGAGTCTGTGGCCTGGACTTTAAACTGAAAGGTTTTCATCTGTTCATAGTTAAAAGACTGCAGGCTGACTATGTCTCCAGTTTCTGAGTTGATGTTCACAGCAGAAGTAACTGGGATACTTCTTGAAATGCCATCTAATGATGAATATATTATTTTTGCATTTCCTTCTGTGTCAGGGTCAACTGCAGTTATAGTAAAGATGGTAGCTCCCACTGCACTATTTTCTTTCACGTATACATTAATTACGGACTCTGTGAATTGAGGGGCGTTGTCATTCACGTCAGATATATGAACAGGAATCACACTGGTGCTGGAGAGAGGCGGAGTTCCTTCATCAGTGGCTATGATGGTGATATTATATTGAGAAACACACTCCCTGTCTAGAGGTCCATCAACTGTTAATGAATAATAATTTTTGTAGTTTAGCTTTAGTTGAAATGGCACAGAAACGATAATTTTAGCATTAGTAAGACCATTCCCCCCCCCATCTTTGTCTGTCACAGTCACTAAAGCGACCACTGTACCTATCTCAGCGTCCTCTTTAACTGAACTCATGAGAGAGGTGATAATGATTTCTGGTGTATTGTCATTAACATCAATTACTTCCACTAAAACTTTGCCATGCACACTTCGAGAAGGTGTACCCTTATCACTTGCCTGCACACGAATATCATATGCTGTATTCTCTTCATAGTCTACTTTCCCCGTTACAGTTATTTCCCCCGTGTCTGGGTTTATTGAGAACACAGCTTCAGGATTGAAATTTCCTCTCTCAATAAATGCATACACTATCTCACTGTTTATTCCCTCGTCTAAATCTGTGGCACTTACAGTCAGTATGGATGTCTGAAATGGTGCGTTTTCAGTGACCTGGGCCTTATACAGAGACTGACTAAATATCGGAGCATTGTCGTTGATATCCATAACATTTACCACTATTTTCAGTGTTCCTGATCGAGTAGGTTTTCCTCCGTCCAGAGCAGTTAAAGTCAGGTAGATGACAGACTGTTTCTCCCTGTCTAAAGATTTCTGTAGCACCAGCTCAGCAGACTCACTGTGCTGTCCGCCGCTCTGTATGTCCAGGGAGAAATATTCATTTGGACTCAGCTTGTAGCTCTTTACCGAGTTATTGCCCGTGTCCGCGTCGTTTGCCACCGGGAGTAGATACCTCTCCCCGGTAAAAGACGATTCCGAAATATTGAAAATCTTTTCCTTTTCACGAAAAGAGGGCGCGTTATCGTTAATATCAATAATCTGAACCTCTATGCGATGCAAATGCATTGGGTAGCTCAGGATGGCTTCTATATTCAGGGAACATTTTGCCGTATTTGGACAGAGCTCTTCACGGTCAATCCTATCGCAAACATACAGAGCACCAGTTTTTAAATCCACGTCAAAATATTTCTTAGAATTCCCAGAGACAACCCGCAAATCTCTTTTTTCCAGTTCCTGAACATTAATTTTTAAATCCTTGGCGAGATTTCCTACTATCGATCCTTTGTCAACCTCCTCGGAGACGGAGAAGGACAGCTGAGCTGTAGACCCATCGCACAAACAAAGCAAAGCTATTATTTGTATCCAAATCGTGAGTGTTCGTCTTTCGTGTCCCATCGCTGCCACAGAGTGAAAGACACGGTCATTTTCGAACATGTCCACACAGATGGTGAAAAACAGACGAAGCCCTCTCTGTCTTGTGACCATTTGTGTGTTTTCTGACAAAGCAGCGGTGGCCTACTGCTGATTCGCACGGAGAGGAGGAGTCTGGGAAGAAAAAAGGAGCTGCGCGAATATTGTGGTCTCTAGTGACACCAGCTGTTATTTTGCTGCTGGTGTATAAAGACATATTCATAACATATGAACAGCTAGTATTTGTACAGAACGTCAAAGCTGTGCAAAACACAAAACTTCAGTGGAAAATTGTATTAAACCTCTTTCACAAGTTCCTGAAGAGTAGGTAAAATTGTGCAAAGTGTGTTTCAAGAGCAAGACATATTAACCAGTGTAGTTTCGAGGAAACTTTTGTTCACGAACCCTAAAACACCATCCAGTGTTCAGGACCATGGACAGTGTTCTCACTCGACCAGCGAGGTCTCTGCCTAAAGCAGATGTTTAAAACAATACCCCACATAATATCTCAAACACCCAGCTTCGAGGTAGAGATTGGCTTTTGTGGGAGAGGGTCTGTTAGATAATTTTATTCCTCAATGCACCATTTAGTATCACATTGCTTACACAATCACACAGAATATTTACCACGAAAATGTTTTTATCAGATATTTGCATGACCACACAGGTCTTTCAGAAACTGAACAAGGCAATCACCAGAAAGCCCCCTTAATCTACTGCTGAGTTACATACAAGTTACTCACCTTATCTTTATTAGGTAAAGTCTGAGTCCTGGTAAACGTGTCTCCTCCGTTAATACTGATCAGCTCCGCGTCTACAGGCGGAAACGGTGCGGGGAAAACCACTACGTCACTCTTGAGCGTGTCTGAGCTGAAGCAGACGTCATACTGCTGAGTAGATTTAGAGTAAGACCAGCTCCCGTCAGGGTGGGTGGTGATCATGGGGGCGCTGTACCTGCTGAAACTGCCGTCTGTCCTGTGGCATTTGACAGCTATTAAACTGATGAGGCTCAGTAGGAAGATGACTGACACCGACACGATGGCAATCAGCAGGTACAGGTTTAGATCCGAGAAGCTGTCCTCCTTTATGGGTACATGTCTGAACTGAGTCTGGATGTCAGCTGAGCTTTCAACCACCGTGACATCAATAGACACAGTAGCTGACAGGGAGGGTTCTCCGTTATCAGAGACCAGCACCACCAAGGGGTGAGTTTTCAGGTCGTTGTCACTCATCCTCCTCTTAGTCCTGATTTCCCCGGTGCTGGTTCCGATCCGGAAGAGGTTGTTTCCTTTGGGCTCAGAGAGGTGATAAGAAAGCAGCGCATTGTATCCCGAGTCAGCGTCTACAGCCCTGATCTTTGCCACAAAGTATCCCGCTTCAGCAGAATAGGGGATGCTCTCAGTGTTAACGGAGCCGTGCTCAGAATAGGGCGCGAGAATCGAGGGACTGTTGTCATTGTCATCCAGGATGAAAACGTTGACAGTCACGTTGGTGCTGAGCGGAGGAACACCAGAGTCTGTGGCCTGGACTTTAAACTGAAAGGTTTTCATCTGCTCATAGTTAAAAGACTGCAGGCTGACTATGTCTCCTGTCTCTGAGTTGATGCTTATAACTGAAGTTATAGGAATAGTTTCTGAATCACCATCCAATGAGAATGTCACTCTAGCGCTTTCATTTATATCAGGATCTACTGCAGTTACCGTGTGGATATGAGCTCCAATAGGACTGTTTTCTCTTACATAGATATTTATGTGTGGTTCAAGAAAATGAGGCGCGTTGTCATTTACATCAGAAACATGAACACTAATAATGCTGATGTTAGAGAGAGGTGGGGTACCTTCATCAGTAGCTATAATCGTGATATTGTAAAAAGAGCATGCTTCTCTATCAAGAGGTCCATCTACAACTAAAGAGTAATAATTTTTATAATTGGAATCTAGCTTGAATGGTGCTGAGCCAGTTAATTTACAGTGAATCTGACCGTTTTTTCCTCCATCTTTATCAGTCACTGTCACTAAAGCTACTACGCTTCCTTTTTCTGCATCTTCTTTGACTGGGTTCATGAGTGACGTCACCATAATTTCTGGGGCATTGTCGTTGACATCAGTAACCTCCACCAGTAGCTTTCCATTTGCACTGCGAGGAGAACCGCCTTGGTCTTTTGCATGAACATGTATTTCAAATGCTGATTGCATTTCGTAATCCAAACTGCCTCTAAGCGTGATCTCACCACTCTCTGCATTTATAAAAAACACATCTGCAGGATCGAAGTTTGCACGCTTCACAAAGGAGTAAATTACCCTGCCGTTGTCCCCTTCGTCTAAATCTGTGGCATTAAGTTGAATTACTAAAGATCCAGCTGGCGCATTTTCATTCATACGTGCCTTGTAAAGTGTCTTACCAAATGTGGGAGTATTATCATTGACATCCAGAACATTTACACATATCTGTACAGTTCCACTTTTAGGAGGTTTGCCTCCATCTATAGCGGTCAGTGTTAGTTTAATTACAGCTTGTTTTTCACGATCCAAAGCTTTCAGCAGCACTAATTCGGCAGATACACTGTGTTCTCCACCGCTCTGTACATCTAAAGAGAAGTATTCATTTGGGCTCAGCCTGTAAGTCTTTACTGAATTGAACCCTGTATCTACATCAAGAGCAAGGGGAAGCAAGTAATGCTCTCCTGTAGGTGAAAATTCAGATATGTTGAGTGTATGTGACTTCTCGACGAAGGTAGGTGCGTTGTCATTTAAATCGACAATGACCACCTCAATGCGGTGTAGTATCATAGGATTACTCAGTATGGCCTCTACGTTTAGAGTGCATTTCACTGTGTTTGGACAAAGCTCCTCGCGGTCTATTCGCTCGTTAACATAAAGATCCCCCGTTTTAAAATCTGTCCCGAAATATTTCTTACTATACCCAGACACGATATTTAGATTCCTCGTCTGCAGATCTCTGGCATTGACATTTAGATCCTTAGCGAGGTTCCCCACCACAGTTCCTTTGTCCACCTCTTCTGAGACACTATAGGAAATCTGAGCAGCAGTCCAGTCAGATAAAAAGATCAGCAGCCAAAAAAGAATATCGTTATTCCGTCCAATTCCCATCGCAGCGTTTAAAGAACGGGAGATTACGTAAATGATATTAATCCACAAAACTCCACTCTATCGACCAGCATTTTTCGTCCCATCCACTCCAGACCTCCGCTCTGAATCACCATTCGTGTTTCTCTCACAAAGCACTCGCAGCCTGCTGACGCTTCACACAGAAAGGAGGAGACTGAAAACACCGAGCTCATGAAAACATGTGGTCAGTAGCGACTCCACGTGTTACAACTTGGATATGAAGTTAATTGAGTATATATTGAAACACTTGGATTATACTGTGCAGTACATTACAATTTACATAGGCTAAGAACATAACCAGTTTGGTAAACAGGAAGAATTCTGCTCAAAAAGTCACAACATACTGCAGAAAGTATGATCCTGATCTCTTAAAAAGTATCTGACATCCATGCAACACACTGAAAAAAACGATTCAAAACATAAAGTTCAAAAGCTTGGGCAGTGTTCTTCATACAGAATTAATTTTAAAAAAAGTAAAAACACTATCATGATAAGCTATTTGACAACTGTTCAGCACATAGTAACCCATATGACGTTGTTCCCTGTCACTAAAGAACATTACAGGATTAACATTACAGAACTAATTGTCAGCCTAAGCAAGTAAAGGAAGTGAAAAGACAATTCAACCCTGTAAGGTCAGAAATGTTGCATTTGACTTTAAGGTAAAGTTAGTTGAACACTGAAAAAAAAAGATTTATTGGATTTACTTGATTGTGATGTGTACATCGGTCCCACACAATGATAATGTGTAAAACCAACATAATTTTCTTTAGGGGTTAACTTGTTTGAATTATGTTAACAGAGGAAATATAAATGAATTGCGTTGCATATACTAGCATAATTTGTGTAAATCCAAAGACCCGGTGAGTCTTTTTTTCAGTGAAGAAGATACCAGGAAGTTAGATCCACGGACAGCGCCACACAAAAACGATGTCCACTAAATCCTGTCTCCATTCATTTCCTCTAAGGCAGCTCTGCTATCTGTATAAATGTATAGGTATTTCTGTGTAGCTGATTTTAGTGAATGTGGGATTCTTAACTGGGGATTTCATAATTAAGCTAATTAGTCTTTTTTGTAAATCATTTAGGCGAAAGCAAAGAGAGACAGGCGTCAGATAGCACGCCGGGCTATGGTTTAAAATAGATTTAGGACAGAAAATTACGTTTTAATTGGTACTAATATGGAGTGCAAGACTGAAAAAAACGTACCTTCGCTATTAAACTGATGAGGCTCAGTAGGAAGATGACTGACACCGACACGATGGCAATCAGCAGGTACAGGTTTAGATCCGAGAAGCTGTCCTCCTTTATGGGTACATGTCTGAACTGAGTCTGGATGTCAGCTGAGCTTTCAACCACCGTGACATCAATAGACACAGTAGCTGACAGGGAGGGTTCTCCGTTATCAGAGACCAGCACCACCAAGGGGTGAGTTTTCAGGTCGTTGTCACTCATCCTCCTCTTAGTCCTGATTTCCCCGGTGCTGGTTCCGATCCGGAAGAGGTTGTTTCCTTTGGGCTCAGAGAGGTGATAAGAAAGCAGCGCATTGTATCCCGAGTCAGCGTCTACAGCCCTGATCTTTGCCACAAAGTATCCCGCTTCAGCAGAATAGGGGATGCTCTCAGTGTTAACGGAGCCGTGCTCAGAATAGGGCGCGAGAATCGAGGGACTGTTGTCATTGTCATCCAGGATGAAAACGTTGACAGTCACGTTGGTGCTGAGCGGAGGAACACCAGAGTCTGTGGCCTGGACTTTAAACTGAAAGGTTTTCATCTGCTCATAGTTAAAAGACTGCAGGCTGACTATGTCTCCTGTCTCTGAGTTGATGTTAAGGACTGAGGAAATCGGAATATCTTTAGTAGAACTGTCTAACAATCTATAAGTCAACTTTGCATTAGCATCTAAATCAGGATCAAAGGCATTTATCGTATGAATAATGGAGCCTGTTGGACTATTTTCTTTCACATAAACATTAATCACATGCTCCATAAATCGAGGTGCGTTGTCATTGACGTCAGATACATGAACAGTAATGACCTTCATAGTGGACAGAGGCGGACTTCCTTCATCTGTGGCTGTAACGGTGACATTGTAAAGAGACGTGTTTTCTCTGTCCAGTGGTCCATCTACTACTAATGAATAGTCATTTTTGTAGTTGGACTTTAGTTTAAACGGAGCAGATCCAACTACTTTACAGTTCGTTACACCATTGTTTCCTCCATCTTTATCACTGACTGTAACCAGAGCAACTATTGTCCCTAGTTCTGCATCCTCTTTGACAGGTGTCATCAGTGACGTCACAGATATTTCTGGAGCGTTGTCATTCACATCAACTATCTCTATCAGCAGTTTAGCATGTGCACTACGGGGAACATGGCCTTGATCCGTTGCTTGAACTCTGACCTCATAGGCAGGCGTCTCTTCATAATCTAATGTTCCCTTCACAGTGATTTCTCCCGTTTCTGACTTTAGATCAAAAATATCTGATGGATCAATGTTTCCTCTTTTGATAAAAGAATAGAGGATCTTACTGTTCATGCCCTCATCCAAATCTGTCGCATTTAATTTTATTATAAGTGTACCAGGAGTAGCATTTTCTTTGACACGCACTTTATAAAGAGACTTAGTAAAGGTTGGTGTATTGTCATTGACATCTATAACATTCACAGTTAAGTGCAACGTCCCTGATCTGGGTGGTTTACCTCCATCTACAGCGGTAAGAACTAGTTTAATTACCGACTGTTTCTCTCTGTCTAAAGCTTTCTGCAGCACCAACTCAGCAGACACACCGTGATCCCCACCGCTCTGCACATCAAGCGAGAAATGTTCATTTTGACTCAGCTTGTAGCTCCTTACTGTGTTGCTGCCTATGTCCGCATCTTCTGCTACTGGGAGTAAATATCGCTCTCCTACTGACAGTGATTCGAAGATGTCAAGTGTATGCGATTGTTCATGGAAGGACGGTGAGTTATCATTTATATCAAGAATGTTGACTTCGATGCGTTGTACATGCATTGGATTATTCAGAGCAGCTTGTACTTTAATGGAGCATTTTTCAACATGCGGACAAAGCTCCTCTCTGTCTATTCTCTCGTTAACAAAGAGGTTCCCGGTTCGCATATTGACGTCCAAATATTTCTTACTGTAAGTCGAAACAACACGCAGATCCCTGGCTTCTGCTTCCTGTACACTGAGGTTTAAATCCTTTGCGATATTTCCCACTATGGAGCCTTTGTTAACCTCCTCGGAAATGGAATAAGACAGCTGCGATGCAGCCGAGTCACAAAGACAAAGCAGTGCGACCAGATGGATCCAGGCGTATCCGTCCTTTTGCTTCACATACATCTTTGACACAGCAACAGAGATGAGCCCAACAGATCATTTATCCACTGTATAGATATTTCCGTCAAAAGCAGTGTTGTTCTGTTTAGTTCTTTCCCTTGTCGCCACAAACAGCCCAGAGTGCTCAGCAAAATATAGTGACTGATGACGACTTCATGTTTCCCCATTCAGGGAGGTGGAGTTATGAACTGACTGAAACATTCACACTCACGGTCTCCAGCGACATCATGTGGAGATAACCGCTTAACAAAGGTAGTAAAGTAATGTGCGGTGAACACACCTTCTCAAGTTGACTGGCCTCAATTCATGAACAATCAATAAACTTTTTTCCCTGTACATTTACAAACAAAGGTGTTACTGTTTACACATTTATTTTAATCTTTGCAGCAACCCTCTCCTGATGGATATTTTAATAGCCTAACAAGCTGGTGCGATATCCAGATAAAGTGATGTTTAGGGGAAAAATCTATCAACAAGTATGTTGCTGTCTAAATACGCTACCTTTAAGTTCTTTAAATACTGTCAGCAATTCGGATAATAAAGGAATAAAGTGGATCGTTTCTAGGGATTGCGGTGCACAGACCGCATTGAAATCCTGGCTTCAGTACCACGGAGAGCGCCGTGTAATTAAAGTGTAGGATACCTGAACTGTTTTAACAAAATCTGAAAATGGCGATTCAGGAAAACACTGCAACCAGGAACTGCTAGTCCAGCTCCATGGCGTGCGCTGTCTCAATTAGTTGTTGCAATTGCAGTTGCTAAGTCGA